TTTTTGGTTTTTTTTTTTTTTTTTTTGCAGTATTGGGGTTTGAACTCGGGGCCTAATCTGGAGCCAGTCCACCAGCCCCCTTTTTTTTTTTATGGTGCTTTTTGAGATAGGGTCTCACACACTACAAACAACACAAGTGATGGACTGCCTGCCTAGCAAGCATGAGGCCCTGAGTTCAAGCCCCAGTACCACCCTCCTCCCTTCAAAATTCTTATCAAATATTTAATGTCACTTTCATAACTCAACTTTTAAATTTTATTTTAACTAATTAATTATTTTTTGATGGTGTTGGTGCTCAAGTCCCAGTGCTTCATATATACTAAGCCTGCACTCAACCACTGAAAGGCATCCTCGGGTCACTTGTACATTTTTTTTTGGTGGTACTGGGAACATAGGGCCTTTGCATATGAGGCAGGCACTCTACCTCTGAGCCACATCTCAAGGTCCTTTTTTTGTTTTTGTCTTGCTATGTATCCCAGGCTGGCCTTGCACTTGCCTACTGCCACCTCCCTAGTGTGGCATGGTAGGCATGTACCTCTGCACCTGGTGCCCTGTTGTACTTTTTCATGGCTCTGATACTGTAGTTCTCAAGGGCCAGTTTGTCCTCCAGGGGACAGTTGACAGTTTGAGGACATTTCTGACTGTCCTGATGGGGGAAAGGGTCTATTTGCATCTATTATCAGAGACCAGAGATTTGCTTAACATCTTACCATGCACAGGACAGTCCCCACAACCAGGATTTTTTTGGCACAAAATACCTATAGTCCGGAGGTTAAGAAACTGTAATATAACATAAAGTTTCTGGATTTGTTGGAATCAGGAGCTTGAGAACAAATACTGTGTGTATTCAGGGGATATCATGTGCCTCTTTGAGCAGTGAAGGTGCTATGGGACACTGTAAGGAACTCTGGGAACTCAGAGAGACCCACACGTTAGCATCTCCTAACTAGAAAATGTGACTGACCAAATCATCTGCTATGACTCCCGGGCCCTGCGTGACTCTTTAGTGTCACGATGTGTACACCACGCCATTTGGGGTGAGGGCCTGTTAATGTAGCCATGTTGCTCCACTGTTTTGGTACTTCTTCTTGGTCATGACTACTAATCCTTATTGAAGGCACCATCAATGATTGTTTTGTCTGTTTGTAAAGGCAGATGGTTCTCCCATGTGTAAGAGTTGATAGATAATTTTGGCTACTTGGTTTAAAGGTTTTCTGTTTGTGAGGGGTAGGGACAGGCTTAATACGAAGAAAAGACAGGCTTCAGGAAAAAAGCTACTGAGTGGCTAATGCAGCAAGTGGCAGAGGTTGCTAAAGACTTACAGTTCTTTACAGACATATAAAGTTCTTTCATGACATATAAGGAGGTAGAAATCAGTCACATCCAGTCCCAAGGTAATTATGAGTGAACAGGAACTCAGAATGAAGACAACTAATTTTTTTCTTTTCTTAGCAGAAACTTTTAATTCATAGTTCTTATAAAGCAGTACTTTTATTTCTTTGTAAAGAATTCTAAGATTGAATAAAGTCTGATTTTATTGAGTGCCGTTTTCTTTGCTGCTCACTCGGCTGTATTTTTTCTGTTTTATAGTTATTCACTGCTCCATGCTTCGAGAAAAACATTTAGCAATGTCAAAGTCAGTATCTCCAAACAGTGGACCCCAAGTGCTTTTAATTCATCAGCTGAGCTGCCTGTAGAGGTAAGCAGAGCAGGGTGCAGGCGTGGATTTAAGAAAGGGACCCTGCCCACCCCTAAGCTCTTAAGTTCTTTTTGTTTTAAATTTATTTGATTTTATTTAAAATGTTTTCATTGACATAAATAATTGGACAAAAGGGTTTCATGGTGATATTTATATACTTGCATGTAATGTACTTCAGTCTAATTCACTCTGTCTGTATTACTCTTTTTTTTTGTTGGCGGCACTGGGGTTTGAACTCAGGGCCTCCACCTTGAGCCACTCCACCAGCCCTATTTTTGTGAAGGGTTTTTCGAGCTAAGGTGTCATGGAACTGTTTGCCTGGGCTGGCTTTGAGCTGCAGTCCTCTTGATCTCTGCCTCCTGAGTAGCTGGGATTACAGGCGTGAGCCACCACTGCCCGGCTCTATTACTCTTTCTTAACCTACTTTCCCCTTAAGTTCTTCTTTGCATCATTCTCTTGCCGAAGACTCTAAAGTAGCTCACCATGACCTAGGGCCTAAGATCCTAACCACTCTACTAGTTTCAAAGCTTGCTCTGATTCAGCCTGTCTTAACTAGCCAACTTGCATTTTTTTTTTTTTTTTTCCTGCAGCACTGGGGTTTGAACTCAAGGCCTCACTCACACTTGCTAGGCAGGCACTCTACCACTTGAGTCAGTAGCACCTGCATATTTGTTACTGTTTTGAAATCACACACACAATTCTGGCTAGGCTGTTTTTCATTGAGTTTCATAAGTACCATGCATGTTTCTTCCTTTGAGCTTTTCCTTATTGTTGTTTTTATTTTACCTTTTTGTGTGTGGGTTTTTTTTTTTTTTTTTTTTTTT